GTGCAACCCGTCGTTTTTTTTTAATACGAATAATCTATTCTAAAATTGTTTAAGTTGCTCAGTTGACATTCAAATATGTTGAGAATAACTTTTTTAAAATAACAAATGCAAGATTTCATTATAAAAGAAATCGCGTATACATAAAATTAAATTGTTCCTTATCAACCATGTTGGTTTTAATATATATAATATATATTATTAAAAATCGAAAGAACTCGAATCGAAGAAAGTTGAGTCCCGTGTATTGGAGAGAATAATACGGATCTCCAAAGTTTGCAACCAGAAAAGCTTGTGGGCGATAAACGGGTGGTGAAGTGCAGGGAGGGAGATTGTTATTACACCCTCTCACCTAAGCGAGGAGTTTTACCATGATATACTGTCGCACAATATTAAGATGCCACTTGCTTTACTATTGACGCTCTGGGCTCCGTTTTACTCGTTTTCAATAGCTTCGAGTGTTCGCCATTCTATACTCACTGGGCTCAACAGGACCTAATTTAATTTTGTCATTTGTCTTGACAAAAGAGCAATATGTTCTTTTAATGTATTTGCCCTATTGGTTTAAAAAAATGGAGATAATGTAAGGTTTAGGTACCAAAGATAATATACGACAAATTATTATAAAAATAAAGTAGCTGTAATGATTGAACCTCACGTAACTGTCTGATTACACTGTTAAAATTGTAAATAAAACAGTCGAAAAAGCTAGATAAGACGGAAAAACCAAGCTAACAGTAAAAATATCATTGGCTGCAAGTGAGGAACAAAGAAAATGGTGGAGGGCGAACTTACAAGAGTACTTTATAGGCGCGTAAATATGTTTTATATCCTTCTACTGTCAGTTATACACTGCCCTCCCCCCACCCCCCACCCTGTAGGCGTAACCACCCCGTCCGAGGCTTGCCTCGCTCTCGGAAATGCCGAGCTTTAATAAAACATATATTTTTCCGAGCGAGGAAAATACGGGGGAAACTCGCAATTTGTTCTTTCACTTTATGCTCGTTTACAAGACAAAAGTGGAACATTTCAGAAACATTATGTTAATCACGTATTTATGTACGTAGTTTATTGTAATTTATAAAACGAGCTTTATAAGTATTTTATATGGTTTTACGAAATAAGTTCTGTATGGTGATGTGTTAATAGATGTGAGAAGTCGTAAAGTGTGTCGTTGAATGATGGGGGTTTATGTAGTCGATCGTAGAGTGTACATTGTATTAATACTTAATGGTGCAACTATGAGCCTTATCTTGCGTGCCTCAGCAAAGTCGCGGTCGTCGGCAATTTATTGCGGCGCGTGTAGGCAGGCACTCCACAGTAAGGACCCTCCGACTTGAACGCTAATTATAACACTCTCCTGCCACGGTATAGCATCATACACCATTAAGGATAAGTTTAATACAAAATTATTTTAGAGGAATGCAAATAACATTTTTGTAATTAAAAATAAAAATCAGTTTAAAACAATTCATATTAAGAAAAGCTGAAGTTAATAAAGCAGAAGTAGCAATTAAGATAATGTTGGAAACAAATTTATATTCCGATTTCGTAGGAAAGATTAAATTATTTTCTTGTTAGTTTGAGCGCTACAAAGAGTCATAACTCATAACCGCATGTTGAATAAGAAGGTTCAAATAAGAAGTGTTTGAGAGAAACCACGTTCTCTCCCCCAGACTCCGCGCCATGAAATACGTATTGACTTAATGAAAGAAGCGCTTTCAATTAATCGAGGCAGATTTGCGTAAGGTAAATTCTGCTGTCACGTTGAAAATATTTCTTTCGACGTTATCCTAAGATTTATACTTCTTATGGAGTTTCAATTATGGCAGGGAGATAAAGATGAATTAATTTTAAGCCTAATAAAATGTCCTACCATTGTAGAAAAGAGAAATTGATGGTCAGTTGAAGTTAATATATATTCATGATTTTATTCATGCTCCCTAAATTTTCTTTGACGTGTTCGCGTAGCAACTTTGGCCAGGCTCTAATCGACTAGAAGTGATATACGGACTGATAAATGATGATGAGCTTTGTGCATATTCTTTAGGAATTTACCCTATTTCTATACTTCATATAATAGTGTCTTAGAGGGGGGAAATATTTTTTAGTTTTAATATCCTCACTCTTATTCTTATATCAATACTGTTTGAAAGGAATCATGTATGGACATTAAGAGACCAAATGTTAAAAAATGGAACCTTTATTGTATGAAAATAGACTATATAGGCACAAGAACGTAAGTTACGAATACGTATGTATAAATAGGGGGCTCTGGACTGTGGTTAGACGGGGGTGGCCAAGCACGACTACAAAGCCGATCGACTCCCGTTATTTCTAAGCTAATAACAGAATTAGCCAGGTTTCCAGTTTGCCGAGATTCAAGCTTCTACTATTCATAACTTCCGCAACGATCCTCGAACATTCTACTTAAAAGAAACTCGATAAAGTACAGGTTGTTTGTTTCTTTTGTTAGTATATGCAGCACATTCGGCATTCATAAAAATAATTTAAATTATACTATACATATATATAATAAAAAATACTTTCCTTTTTTTACTTTGCTAACTTTAGTACAAATTCATCTTCAGAATTATGACTTTTTAACAAAGTTCGTATTTTAAGACAATACAAATAAACGCTAAAAATTCTATCAAAAAGAGACGATCCTGGTTTTGGTGGTCAAACCATCTTTAAAATTTCTATTTTATCAGGGACATTGCTTGCATATTGACAATGAAAAATCAGCCCTTTAATTTAACTTCACATAATAATTGAATAAAAACGCTGTGTCACAACAATTACGGTGTCAATATGCGTAAACGCTCCAAATGTATTAAAGTGACTACATTTACATAGCAAAGAGACAATTACATATTATAATTGAATAGCCATTGTGAATAGTTGAAGTTTATGCGTATCCACTCAGTACATAAGCTGAGCGTTGAATGTAAAAAATATTTCGTTATTTTTTGTAGAATTATTTAGGGATGTTTAATGAAATATACACAAATATCTAATAGTAAAATCTCTATTTTACTAAATACGATCACTGACAATAGAATGAAGTAAGAGAATAAATATTATTTGTTGACAAATGATCTATGAGTAATTCTTTATTATAATGTATGAATGGTTATGCATGATATCGTGGCAAATTCTCAATAGAATTATTTAAAAAAAATGCTCACTGACATGGTGAATTAATATCGGTCGCCAGACAATCTTAATTAAACCTTTCTCTTACTCCCGATCGTAGGTATTGGAATAAGCGATTCAGACCGAGCCGCCAACAGTCTCCCGAGGTAATTTAATTAATCAACATAGCAGAGCGGCGAGGCTGAAACTGATTTCCTCCTCAAATATCCATTAACCGGTGTTACAGTGCCACTTAAATCGGATTGTGTTTAACTAGTGCACCCGAAGCGTTCGATTTCAACATGTTTTTATGTAATTGTCATTTTTTAATATTTTATTGCGATATGATAGGGAAGGTGTGGGTTTATTTATGATTTTAGTATGTTCATAAATAAAAGTTGCCAAAGTCGGTTTTTCGAGATTTTATTTCTAGAGAACTTTGCTATCAGAATATTGTTGCAGTGAGGGTCAGAAACACTTATTATTATAATTATATTATACTGATCCCTTATAAAAGATGTATGACCTAAAATGACCACCGCCTATCAAATAGACTGCGAGCTTATTTCGACATTACCGGTTATTATCATAAAATGGGGAACACTAAAGGAACTTATGAACTTTTTAATTAGTTGAGGACCTAAAAATAACAGAAACTGAAATAAATATCGTTACAAACCTACCTTTTGAGTACATAAGCAACTTGCATATAATTTGAAGGAGTGATAGCTTAAACTCGCTCTTCAAATGGTGTGCTTCTTAGGAGAACCTGGCGTCGGCTAAAGACTTAATGTAATGTTTAATTACAAACACTTCGCGTCTGCGCCAATCTTGCAATTAGGAAGCAGCGCGGTGGCGCGTAATCAGCGCCCTTTGCTACGTCGACTCGCGTCGGAGAGCGCTCGACGCTTACAACTCAAGCTTTTCACTCGCATTTCACAACCTGTTGACGAGTTAGTTAAGCCTCTACACCTGGCACTGGCAACTACTAGTCCGTACAGAGTAACTCGTTAACCCCTTCAGATGTAGTCCTTGCAAAACTGACCCGCTTGGAAAATAACAGGCGATTTTCGACCATCATGATTCGTTTTTTTTGTGTTGTTTAGTCAAGCATTACACTCGTAATCGTCTATTAAAAATCAAATAATTTTACTTAAATGTAATATTTGTATAACGATATATAGGTACTTGTTTTATATTTTTATTAAGATACTAAAGTTTAAGAAAGAAAATTTTAAATTTAATTATATTATTTACAAAAGTAACTTTAATAATTATATTGGTCGTTGGTGTTTGCCAGCGTGTGTTTATCTTTAAACTTTAAACGTAAATGGACTGCAACTGTATGTGCAATTAACGTGGTATGTATGTATATTATAGTATATTGTATCGAGTGTATATTATGTGAAAGCTTAATTTTCAAAAGTAACAATTTTGGTTCTAAAACCAGGAATAGGTCACAGTATTAATTTGCAATTAAGTGGACTATGTGCCTGTTTATCGCAATATATTGCTTGAAAATATACGCCCTACACTTAGTAGTGGCTAAAAATACTGAAAGGTACCTAGTTAAATTAACAGAAATTAAGTGACATAAAACTAAGTAGACAGTAATTAATATGTAAACAAGTGCAGGCTTTCGCCCTGGAAAAGATTTATCCCGATGCGAGTGAGACCGGGTAATAAACAGGGGAGCGAACAACTTCGCCACTTACATTACACGGACATTTTATTCCCGACGCTCGGTTTCAACTTTACGCCCACAAGGACTTGAGAACCGCTTTAATTAATTTACGCGCTTCGTAAATATCATTTGCAAATTCACTCACAAATGACGGTAGTAAAATAATTTTTATTGCACTTGCCTTGTCGTCGTCGCCTTCACTATCACACTGCAAAAGAGAGATATTTATCCATTAATAACTCATATAGTAAAATCCTGTCAATGCAAAGCGAGCCTTATTCATGCATAAATGATTTCATACAGCAAATTATGATTTTATGAATGTGATTAAAATAACAATCAAATGATTATTTGTGTTTACAGTACAGTAAATAAGCGATGCTGGTAGTAAAATATTCGGCAAAATATTACTTAATATTATAAAAGTTTGTACAATGTAAAAGTAAATTTTCTAAAGCAAAAAATGAACCAATCCACCCAAATAAGAGATTATCAATCTGCAAACGAATTGTTTGAATAGATAGTCTATTATCGTGCCGAGGCAAAATAATTTATAAGTTTAATATTTATAAAGGTGCAAGCGATGCTGGTAAGTACAATAATGGGCTAAGTATTTGTTATTATTGCAGAGTTTGTACAGTTAAAAGTAAACTAATCCACCCAGATAGGAAAATATCAATCAACATACTGTTCAAACAGAAAGTTTATGCAATGCTGGCAGTTAAGCAGCAAAATATTGTTGTTATTATTTAAAAAAATGTTTGCTTAAAGTAAATAATTCAAAATATTTTAATGTTAAAAGTAAATCAATCCACCTAAAATAGGAAAATATCATTCAACACACAAATTGTTTGAATAGAAATATAAATTCTTTCATCGTGCCGAGGAAAAATAATCCATATAAAATTTAAAAAAAAAAAGTATGTTCGCACCGAAGGAAACAAAGTATCAGGCTGAGATATAACAATTTCAAATAAATACAGTACATGAAGTATTCAGGGCGGGCGTGGGTAATGTTATGTAGTACGGAGCGGTACCGCCTCGACAAATCTCGTGATTTACCTGCGATACGCGCCGAATATCGAACAGGGATTATGTGTTGCGTGATCAGAGTAAATTTGCACACTGTAATCGAAAATTATGGCTTTCACCTTTAAATAACTTCTAATAGCATTTACCGGGTCGCTTAGCGAATAGAAATTGGCAACTGAATGATACATTATTAGCTTCATTGAAATGTGGAATATCGATTACGTGCTTGGTCCGCTAACACGAATATTATCAATATATAACATAACGGGATTAAAACTACTTTTAGGGATTTTATCGCGTTTTATTTATTTTATTTTTAATACCCGACGTTTCAGGTGCTTTCCAGCACCCATGGTCACGGGGGACTGAGGTGACTGACGTCCCGATGTCAAAGTTAACACGGAGTAAGGTACTCCGCTTCAGCTTTTTAATTATTGTCTTTGGTCCGATCTACGCAGAATGAACTGTGTTTTGAAGTCTTGCAGTGGTATGCTTGGGTTTAGTTTCAATTTTATTAATTATAGGGTCCCAAGCAGGTGGTAGTAGCCTCCTTCTCTATTGAAATTAGAATGTTTTTTAATTTCAATAGCCTCACGAATCATCCTTGGTAGGAATCGATATTCTTTCGCGATGATTTATAGTCTATCAAATCTGATGTAATGGTTGGGGCCATCTAGGATATGATCGTGTCGATCAGTCGATAAGATCGAGTTTGACGTGTTAACTTTGACATCGGGACGTCAGTCACCCCAGTCCCCCGTGATCATGAAGCACCCGAAACGTCGGGTATTAAAAATAAAATAAATAAAACGCGATAAAATCCGTAAACGTAGTTTCAATCAATGTATATTGTTCGCGTAAATATAAGAAATCATTATAACATAACGGGGTTCAGACTGCGGCTATGGGAATATAAAATATTGCTATTTACCTTACATTTATATCACAATAATATCGCTTAGATTTTTAAGAGTTAAAAGATAAATGAGAACTTAAAATTAGTAAGACAAGAAAAACCCACTAAATACATGCTTGCTACAATTATAAAAAATAAGTAAAGCCGATGGACATGAGACATGTCGGTGGCAGCTCGTGCACTAGGGGAGGACAACAATGATGATACTCACGATATAGCCCTTTCCGGAACTACAGCGGCTACTGGCCTGTAGGAAGGAGAGAAAGCAAACATATGAGTGAACTGGGCTGACTGAGGTAGGTAATTATAGCCGACCCTCCCTTGTTTTGCTATAAAGTATTTAATTATAAACTACAAAAGAGTTGCTGCTGATTTCTTTTTAAATTTAACGTTATCAATGTAACACTTTATTTAATACTTGAAGTGAGCATTATGGTTCAATTCAACTCTGGGAGAGTCGGATATGGGATAGCAAACAGTTTGTATAAACATCAACTAGTTATTGTTTGAAATTCTAACATTGAGAAACAGTTACACAACATAGAATGAAATAAAAATATCATTTACATGCATTGAAGTTGAAATAATACATTAGAAATAGCAACGTAAGCAAACGAAATAGCTAGTGTTTGGTTCGTCAAGTTTTACATTAAATTTGACAGTAAATTTAAAATTTAAGACGAGAAAGTCAAGGATAATTTTGAATCCCGATATTGCAAGCCCACAGTATCGATGAATGATCGGTGTGTATCGATTTTTTGTGACGATTGTGTATACGTACGTCACTAAGACGGTCGCGCGAGGAATCGGGATCACGTGGCGCCACTGAGCTGCCCGTGAGCCGTTCAGATGCCCTTCCACTGTCATCCGACGTGCCAGCGTCTTGAAGCAGCGTAATGCCCTGCACAACAAGTATGTAAAGTAAAAACAATCTATTTACGTCTTACGGCAGGGCAGAGGCATAAGCCTTCAGTTTCGAATGAACGTGAAAGGGATTAACAACTACATTTACATCAAGTCGTTTCATTTCGAATTCATGGAGTAGTAGCTGGAAATTTTATAACTTAACTATATATACAAATACCTCTAAGAGTCTGAAAGTAAAAATGTTTAGTGATATTTAAAAATAAATGAAACTACATTATTATCGGATTCACAATTTTAACTAAGTCCATTAAAAGAGAATCGCTATTATTATTTTGTAAATATAATAGTGAGATTAAGAAGAAAATTAGCGGTATTAAAACAAAATAAGTGATAATATATAATTAGGGGCTATATACAAATATACGTAATAAAGAAAATTTATTTTAGCTGTTCGTTTTCAATTTGTACACGCATCATGTAAACATTACTAAGCGGATCTAAATGGATAAATTATTCAGCTGTATTGCTTTGTATCCGAGAGACTGGGAAAATATTAATGTTTATTTGCACAAGACTGTTGTGTATTAAAGCTTTTGACAAGTCGAACTATTATTTACAAATATTAGGTACCTTACAGCGTTTTTAAATCAAGTTTTAAAAAATATGAATGTTTTTGAACTAAAAAAGTTCACGTTATTACGTATTTAAAGTCGTGCCACGAATAATATTTTTAAGTACAAGAAAAGTTAAGGACAATAGGCGCAGTAGTAATCAAGCACTGGTTTGTAATCAGAAAAAAAAAATAAAAAAAAATGTATGAACCCTTTTAAACCTTGGCAATTTTAACAACAGATTGTGTAAGATCTACCTACGTCAATACATATATTTGAACCAAAGCCGTAACTACTTTTATACAGTAAGAGGGCAAAATTCTATTAGAAGAGGGTAAAAGGAAAGCTTTTTATATAGGCTCGCAAAATTGAGCGGTAACTAGGATATAAGGAAACTTGATAGGGCGGACCGGGACGGCTATAGAGCGCAGGCGGAGCGACCGACTGCTTACCCATAACGTAATGTAGCCGGGAGCCGACAGTAAAAAGAGTTTTCCATTTATCACATTTCGCGTCTATTTTACGGCAGGGTTCAGAGGGAGGCGACTGCGAGCCCCGGACAGGCGCTCGACGGGACGAATGAAAGAAAATAAAACGACTAGTAACTCTCTGTAAATGGATAACTCTCTCCGACCATGCTCGCTCAATGAACTTTCACAATTTTATTACGGAGTATCAAATATGTTTTGATTTACGTGTCACATGATTATTCAAAGTCAATACGATTTATTCACACATCGTCGCATTTTTTTTATTAATGTTATTCTACTCTAAGTTACAATACGAATGTTTTATTTGTGTGTAAGATATTATCTAGATCCGACTATAATAGGCAACGGAAGATTTAACTTTTTTGTGTCCTAGGTTTTTATAGCAAATGGTGGTTTATTTCAAGTAATATAGTTACAATTGTTAAGGTTTTAATAGTGTCTGGAATACATTTTCTTTGAATTTTTAATAGCAAAATCCCTATTACTATTATATTTTTAAGCATTCTATGTAAAATCTGAGAAACTAATTCCTTTTAAAAAACTATAAATTTATGTTAATTTGTTATAAATGAAAATACGTGCGACACTAAATATAATAAAAAACATTACGAATATTGATATTATATGTAGAAAACAACAATATTCGAACAATCATATTTTAAAAACACATATAATTTCCTCACAATTTTATTATTCAATCACATAAATCGAACGCGACATCACAGCGCCGCCACGGAAGCGTGAAAGCATAACTTTGTTAACGGCGTCTTAAGTAGTCACCGAGACGTAATAAAAGTTGAACGGGTCCTTATTCCCACATAACAGACAACAATAAGCTATACGTGCACGTTTACGTCCCCGTTTCTAATAAAAGGGATTGGCTTCCGACCCTTTACATAGATAGACAAGTCGAGCGAAGTAGCTCGCATATCAATTTAATCCCATAAACTAACAAGATACCCTTAATCCGGGACATGCGTAATTTGGCGGGTAGTACCGGATGGTCTCATAATTTCTATACCACATTACAAATGCGCTTTAATTATAATAAACACTGGTGTGACATTACCGCTTTGAATGAAACGCTTTTTAACTTTTTAATGAGCTTTCGAGACACCTACCACGTTCACTGTTAACACTTTATATTGTGTTATGATTATAAACATTCGAATAGTTAACTGATTGAACACATAAAAACATGTAAGTTGGCATGAAGGTTATATACATAACTTATATTGTTTCAACAATAAAGCGGTAGCAGTAACTATAAATAATTAAAATATTAATTATAAACATAATGATATTATTAGCAAAATTATGTAGCCATTGTAACAAGCATTTCAAAATCATCTTCTACTAGATATAACAATGAAATAAAGATTTAGTAAAGCAACTAAGTGACTAGCATTCAACGTGTAAAATAAAACGCTCTTCTATTACTAGGTGATAGAAATGTCTTTCTGCCTAGAGTCCGTCTTAGTAGGGTAGTAGTCTCTTAGCTGTTACTGTAGTATAACAGCGTGCGTAGTCTGAAGGGCATGGAGAGCGAGTATAATTACAGACTGCCAGGTAGAGCCACACTGCAGCTATTATGGTTGTAGCATGAATGGGTCGGCTCGACCGGAGAAGGACCACGCTCTCACAGAATACCAGCGTAAAATAGCAGCTTAATGCTGCTGTGTTTCGTATAGTGAGTGTAGAGAACCGGAGACCCGTTTTACTGGAATCGAGGCATTCCATCTTAGTCCTCAAGGGTGACAACGCATCTCCATTTTGATTCTTAACCGAGGTTAAATGTAGATGTCTATGGGCCACAGTAACCACTTACCATCAGGTGGACTGTGTGCTCGTTCGTTACTCTTATCCTATAAAAAAAAGTTATTCCATCTTAGCAGGTGGCAACGCATCTGTAGTACGTCTGTAAACCTGGAGTGGTCATTTGGGCAAAATCACTAAAAATGTATTGCTCATTTAATGCTAATTTAGTGCTCTAAAATTAAATTTCACGTCAAAATAGCTTGATCAAAAATAAGAAAACTGCTAGCTTTGAATTAAGCTAGCAGTGTTCTACCTCCAAAAACTATAACCGCTTAATACAGCACCAAATAGAATCATCAATAATTTAGTGGTCGAATACTCGAAACATTTAGGAAAATTTTTTTTTAAAAATAGAAACTGCTATTTTGACATCTTTAAGCAGAGTATGTAACGAAAAAAAATTACATCAGAGTGGGTTGTCACCCTAATGACATAAGATGTAAATTCAGTACTTAATTTGTGTTGCAAGGACATGCGAAAAAAAACGCTATTTTTTTTTTCATATACTGTAAACATTCACTTTGGCAGATTCAGTGATGAAAAATTGACATCCAGGTGGGTTATTGCAGCTTGCAGCACAAGTTGAGCACTAATTTACATCTTATATCATTAGGAGATAACGCACTCTGATGTCAATTTTTTCAATATCTCAACATATCAAAGTAGCAGTTCATAATATTAAAAAAATACTTTCCTAATTTTTTTGCGAAAGAAGAAATAATTATAAAAAGAATTACAATATTAAGAGATTTCCTACTTTCTGTATAGTACGACTAGTACGACTTTGATACCAATAAACGTTTGCCGCGTAAGGGACAACTATCTATTAAATCAGATTCTTCATGACAAGACTAGTTATGTCGGGCTGACGGGAGGGCTTGGGGGGCGACGGTTGGCGGCCGACCGACGACACAACCGCTAATTGAAACAACGACCGTGCCAGAACATTACTTATTCATGAGAACTCCATATGGCGGCGAAACGTGACCAAAGCGATAAATCATTCAATTATCGTGAATAGGTAGTAACGTTTGGTATTCACTTAAAAATATTGGGGTCATACATACTCCGTCTTGTGTAATTTTCCGTTTTCAATGCAAAATAGAAAGAATAACATTCGACAAAAACGTTCGCAAAATGAAAAATCATATTAAACACAAATATCTGAATAAAATATATTTTGAACTAAGTCATAACATAATAAAATAAAATAGTGTCATAGCTTTGGATATAAAAGAAAATTGGAATGAACAAATAAATAAAATCTTTTAACGCAAGATCATGTCTCAGATAAAAATTTTATAAACATCACATGACAGTAATAAAAGATGTTATTGAACAACTCGGATAGCGTTTTTGCAATAAAAATACAAACTTCAGTAAATTTGCGACATTTCATTTAATCTAAAGTACTCTCGAGATAAATAATCTACACTTACTAGTCACTATAAACGTAATGATACATGGTTATGTCCGATTTTTCTTGCAAAATAATGGATAAGAACTAAGTACTTTAATTGGAAATATTTTGGTACCATTTATTTTCTTACAGTTGTAGCATCTGTAATTTGAGCTGATTTAGGTACAGTGTCATCATTAAGTAACTCTTTAATCTTTATAAGTCAGTGTTTGACTACCTCCCCTACCTAATGGTATGTGGTGATGTAGCCGAAAATGGTAAAACACACTTAGTAAACAAACGTCTATTTATTAGCCTTGAACAAACATACATTGATGATCGGATGAGAAGGCAGATTCTAGCAAATTATTTTAATTACGAAGCAAACCGTTTGGTAAACCGTGGTTTTTCGATAACTTAGTTGCGGATAATGATCAAGCATCTGATCAATAGTAGAAGAGAGAGGAAGCAACGTCTGTATTCTCTGAAATTATATCCTGTAGAACACCGACTGGCTGGCTATTTTGCGCTTGTGCTCGAGACTGGTAAGACTGGCTTTTACCAGATTGAAACAACCAATAAACCTCTAAGCACGCCTATGAATTCAAAGCTGTCATATAGTATTTTGGCAAGCTGGCATTTTGCGCAACCAGAACATTATTGGCAGTACCATCAGCATGCTCATGTACTGGTAACTAGGTATTATATCTTAGCT